GCTGAGAATTGAATTTGCCATTTCAAGTGTATAAGATGGAATGTTATCATGTGATTTGATATACTAAATTTATAATAATAGAGTTAATGATGAATAATATACATGCTGCCCAAATTCCAAATTATTTGAGATATTGGATTTTAATTTGGGCAGCATCTATAATGAATAAGCAATAATCTGTTATTGAGAACTAGAATTATCTTACTTTTAGATTTTTTTTTTTGAATTTTTCAATGGCAAATTCATTTTCTGTGTAATCAGGGTCTTTTAACAAATCATCATTTACATCAGCATCATCACATTCTTCATTATCTTCATAAAGGAATTGCTGAAAGTATGGAATAAGTCGAACTTGTAAAGAAACAAGAATAACAAGATCACTTGGATAAAGATCATGTAATTTCTGATGCCTTTTGTGAGCTTCAATTATGTTGTTAAATGTAATTTCATTCATGTGTTTATTATCCTTATAAAAAAAATTTTTTAAAAAATAATTATTGCAATAAACAATTTTTTAAATTCAATTTTTACAATAAAATATTTTTCTAACTTCAGTCAATATTATTTGAAAAAGATTGTCAATTGAATCAATGATTGTTAATACAACTTCTTTATCCTCTATTAAATCGCCCCAAATCAAATCAACTTTTAATTCTTCTATAAATTCACCTAAAAACTTTCCTGGTTCTAAGTAAAGTAACAATTCGCTCCCTTCATATACCAAAATACATTTATATCCACTATTTATTAAATAAAAAATCCATTAGAACAAGGTATTGATATGAATTGTTCATGTGAAATATATGTTTTTATAAAAACTAGAATGGCAACAAGTTGCAAATTGTAATAACCAACCACTACCATTTTTTAAAAATTACTATAACTAATAAATAATACTTACTTGTTTAAAACTGCATCAGTTATTTTCTTTTTGTTTCAGGAGCACTTTTTTAAAAAAAGTAAATTAATATTAATCTAGAGTGATAACAAGTTGTGGCGATTGTAACCACCATTTAATGATAAACTAGAGTAATGGTGAATGGCAGGTGATAACCACCACCACCATCTGTAAAACACTTACTCATTTTTTTCTCTATGTTCGTCTTCACCACTTCTTTTTGATTTACATGGCTTTTTTTTTTTTAAAAAGAAAAAAAAGTTTGTTGTTTGATCAACATGTACACATTAATTATTTATCCTATTGGTTTTTTTTTGGTAGGACAGATGTGATTGATTTTTTTTTTTTTTTTTTTTTTGGAAAACAATTAATTTTTTGACAGATGACAAAAATGCAAGTGATGTTGTTTGATATGATTTGGTTCTGAAGAT